ATTTTCTAGCTAACTTTTGTACTTGTACTACTTTGAGCCTAGTGAACGGCTTTTGGGAATGAGATGACTTTTGTGTGAGGTGTTGGGACTGATTTGAGGAAATAATGAAGCCTTAATGGCTGGAAAAGTAAGAAATTTAGGGGAAGTGCTGCCCGATTTTCTAGGCCGTTTGGTTCTTTAAGTTGGATTTGCCTTTTGATGGAAATGAAGGGCTTTTGGGTTGTTTGCGCCTAGGTCTTGATGTTATCTTTTTGTTTTCAAGAAAATCATGTTTTTGCACCCTTGCATTAGTATGTCTCACTTGTGCATTCCGTTTATTCGATTTTAGATATGAAACCTTCAATTGGTTTATTTTGATTATTTTAGGGTTTCTTGGCGATTAAGGCCAATCTGAAGTGAAACTTTTGAAGTTGAATCGGTGAGTGTACCACTGCCTGCTACCCTTTATGTGAAATATCTGAATATCTGAATACTTGACTTATGACTATTGAAGCCAAGTACTGCTTTGATAAAGTGGAGGCGAGGGTGTACTTTATCACACTCGTTCTCTGGTCTGTTCATATTCCAATTCTGAACGTCTATCTGAATCTGTTATCTGTATCTGTATCTGAAACTGTACTGAATCTGTTATCTGTATCTGAAACTGTATCTGTTCTGACGTCGTTTGGAAGCTTGTGTCCAACGACCTTTCTGTGACCTATGAGCTCAAATCCTGTGGCTAAGTTATTCAAGTCGGGCCGGCAAGGGCCTGGACGATTAGATAACGAACCACGGTAGTCTGTTCGGGGATCTTTGGGTATTGAGACCCTTGGGTTCCGGTATACTCGAGTATTACCATTTCTGTTACTGATACGGTGAGCGGGCCCGGTAAAGGGGTGTTTGGTGGACGGAATTTGGAGTGAAGAGGAGTCTACGGACGCTTTGGTTCTATATACGTTGACGGAGGGTCAACCGGTCTGGATCAAGTACTGAGCTGGAAATTTGGCTCCTGAGAGCCACCCGTATCCTTCTGATTTGAATCAGTGGTTCCGTTGCTTTATATTTGGCATGTGTATCTGATTTGTTAAACATGAAATGCCATGATTTTATTGCTATCTGTTTGGTACCTCATTGAGCGCAAGCTCACCCCTTTCTGTTCCCTTTTGTTTTCCTTACAGGAAAATAATCACTTTTGGGAGCTCATACGTGTTGGTTGCCAAATTGAGCCATGTATATGTCTATTTTGAATAACTCATCTCATGAAACCCTAATGTGTATTGGGTTCATCTTCTGAATGGCAAACCGAATATGTGTATACCATATGTATAGTTTTGACATGCCAAGTGTGGTTGTAAATGTTGAATTGCTATGTATTACTGTTTGGTGGGTTCTCGGTTTCCCCTATTCCAGGCACTGTTCATCGTTTTCCTTTTGCTTATTATTTTGTTATTTTGGTTCTTGTGGCTTGTCCGAGCGCACTTTTGCATTTCCGAAACGTTTTAGAACGCGTGTAACCGCTCCGTAGTCCTGGCGAGAGTTGGGCAGGCAGTCCGCTAACCCCTTTGGTTCGCCTTAGGGGAAGGTGGGGTTGTTACAAAGGTACGTTCATCAATCAAGTTAATACACCAAAGAGCTGCTCAAAAGATTTGGAATGGAGCATTCAAAGCAAGTTGGAACACCTATGTGCACATCTACCAAACTTGACAAGGATGAAGAAGGTATAAAAGTTGATGAAAAGAAGTATAGAGGTATGATTGGTAGTTTACTTTATTTAACCTCAAGTAGATCTGATATTATGTTCACTGTTTGCTTGTGTGCTCGTTTTCAATTTTGTCCAAAAGAATCTCACTTGATTGCTGTGAAAAGAATCTTTAGATATTTGAAGGAAACTTTGAACTATGGTCTTTGGTATCCAAGATGTCATCAATTTCCTTTATGCGGTTTTTCGGATGCTGATTTTGGTAATTGTAGGATAGATAGAAAAAGTACAAGTAGTACATGTCACTTTCTTGCTAATTGCTTAGTGTCTTGGTTTAGTAAGAAACAAAATGTTATTTCCTTATCTACGGTCAAAGCGGAATATGTTGATGTTGGTGCATGTTATGCTCAATTGTTGCGGTGAAAAGTAACTTAAATGATTTTGGATTAGTGTATGACTGTGTGCCTATGTATTGTGATAATACAAGTGCCATAAATTTGACAAAAAATCCCATTCAATATTCTAAGACAAAACATATACATATAAAGTATCATTTCATTCGTGATCTTCTCCAAAAAGGTAAAATTTGTGTACAATATATTTGTTCAAAAGATCCAAGTGCTGATATTCTTACAAAAGCTCTACCACTTGATCAGTTTGTATTTTTTAGAACAAAATTGGGCGTTTTGGAAAAAATTTTCTAAAAAATTCTCTGGTCACACTTTATCGGACATCCGATACCTGATGAACGGACGTCCGACAGTGTTCTAAGCTATTTTTTCAGAAAAATTTGGTTCATACGATAGTGTCAGACGTTTCTTTTCGTTCAGCCATCCGACACTCAAAAGAGGCGTATTATAAACCAGTCCTCTCCTTCATCTAGTTCATTTTAAACCGTTGTATCAGACGCACCCTTTCCTCTTCTCCCACTTTCAAATTTCAAATTCACCTTTCCTCTGAACAAGTTCCAAGACATTGATTTCTCCAATACCATCATACCCCTTTTGCTCATTCATTGTCACTCATAACTTCCTCTAACTGCTAACCATTCCACCGATCCCAATTCTCAGCAAAAAATCTAGTCATTCAAAATTCACTCATTTTGCAAGATTCAAGCATACATTGTAGTCTTTACTGCAATCTTAGTCCATTTCATACATATTTTTATCACACTCTGCAACGAAAAACATCTTGCATATCATCATGGTTCGAGTGAGAGGAGGGTCTACTGGTACCGGACGCACTACCAGACTAAGAGATGAAGACATTGAAATTGTCGAGCCTTCCACCACAAAATCAACCAGAAAAGGGACTGAAACACGAGGTGGAAAAAAGAAACATTCTGCCAAAAAGACACGAACTGTTCCAACTGAGGAACAGCCAACTGTTTTGCCCGATATCAGTGATCATGAACAGCCATCTGTTGAGCCTTCTACCAGGAAATCACCAAAGATAAGGACTGATGTACCAACTGCTGCTCAATGCGGTGGAAAAAGGAAACGCCCTGCAAGAATGCAACCTGTTGCTCAAACTGAGGAAGAACCAACTCCATTGCCCAAGTTTATTGATGATGATGCCAGGAAGAGATTTGAATGGATTTCATAGAAGGGTTTCATCACTCAAAGGACCATTGTCCCTTTTGAATTCCGTAAGTTTGACCTTGAACCAATGCTTAAGCTCTTTGACTTCCAAAAATGGTCTCACATTCTGAACTTATCCAATACTTATTATCCTAATATGTTTCATCAGTTCTTTGCTAACCTTAGAAAGGGTAATTCTCACACTGACCTGGTCTCTCGTGTTAACTCAGTAGATATTGCATTCAATGCTGACATTGTTAATGCTATTTTAAATACCAAAATTAAAGATGGTTTTAAAGAAAAAAATTACAAATTTTTTCTCTTATGAAGAGTTTCCTTCTGCCTATCATCATTTTCATGTCAAAAAACTGATGACCTATTTTCAAACACATTTTCACACATCTGTTGAGGCAAAATTGGAGGATCTTACTCCTCAAAATCTGATCATATTTACAGTAATTTCAAATCTGTTGGTTCCTACTGATGGTCATAGGATTGATGCCAACAAAATGGAGCTTTACTTGTTTTATTGCTTTGTTGAGAAAGTTAGAATTGACTTTGGCTTTGTCATGTGCAAATTTTTGCTCAAAATCAGTAATGATAGCCGTAAGAAACTTTTCTATAGAAAATTTTTAACTCCAACCTTTGCTCATTTTAAGATTCCTTTCACTGGAGTGTTTCCAAAAGAGAGTGCATCCACCATCTTTTCAAAAGCTTATTTTAAAAGAAAAATCTGTAATTTTTTGATAGTCATTGGTGCTACAAGGAGTCTGTTTTGGAGTTTAGAACAAAAAGTCATCATGAAACTCCTGTCACTCCTAGACCTCCCAGAGATCAGTCTCAGTGTGTTTCACCATTTACCATCAATCCTAGAAAATCATCCACTCAGCTCTCTTCTTCTGATCATGAAGTCATCTTCTTACTTGAGAATCTCAAACAACGTATTCTCTTTCTTGAAGATGGTCTGATGATGACCATGTCACCTAAGCAACAAGCCACTTTCATAGACAAAAGAAATCTGCTTGTGCCTCCTGTCCCTCAAGAAGATAAAAATGTGCATCAAAGGGAGCCTGGGATTGAGCCAATTGATCCACAGGATAAAGGCCCACAAACTGAGTCCACTCCTGAAGTTCATGCCTCAAGTTCTCAACCACAAGATAAGGGTAAGGCTCCAGCAACTGAAGCCAGTGATGATGAGGATGAGGAAACTGAAGATGAAGTGGATCATGTTCAGTTTTGCCTTGCAAGAAGAAGGCCTGGATCTATCAAAATCACCATTTAGACACTTTTAGACATTTGCACTTCATTCTAGGATGACATTCTATACTAGACATTTGCATCTTTTGATATTTTCAAATACTCTGTACTAATAAATTCTGGTTAACTCTGTTGGTTTCTAGTTTATTTCCTAATATATAACTATTGATGGTTTTTGGTTACTTCCTTTGATATAATTTTTTTTGGGCTGATGAGTGCTGAATGATTGGTATATTCGTGATTGCTGGTTTCTGGTATCAATTCTCTATGCTTGTTGGCTGCATTTCTGATGTATTTGGTATATCAGATTGGATATTGGTTATGATTGTTGATGCTAGATTGATATTGAATATTGGATATTGGTATATCATATTGCCTCTCTGATATTGATGATGTTGGGTGATGTTGTTACACTCATCTTATGATGACAAAAAGAGGGAGAAATGGATATTGAGATCCGTTGCAATTTTGTGGATACTATATAAATGGTTAATGTGCATGGGCGAGTTATTTTGAGGCGAAGGTACTCTGGCTCTTAAAAACTTTTGGCACTTAAAATTTTTGATGCTATGAGTGAAGGGGAGTTTATGCCTTTTCTTTCTTTTTTTCTTTCCTCCATCAATTGTTTTGTCATTATCAAAAAGGGGGAGATTGTGAATCTTAGTCCCTAACTTTTGATGTTTACAAAATAAATGGATGATACTAATATCTCTTCAAGAAATACTTTCAACCATGACACAAATCAGATTCAAAGATCAAGTGCAAAATGAAAGAAACAAAGATTGCTGATAGATATCGGACGCTTGTGAAGACAGGACCGGACGTCCGAAGGAATTAAAATATTCCCTCTAACTCACTGACCTCGTTCGGACGCTAAGCATCAAAGCACCGGCCGTCCGATAAAGTTTGCGAAACTTCGGACGCAAAGCATTATAGGTGCCGGACGTTCGAAAGAACTGAAGAAAACTTCACAAAAAGATCATCTGCTTTCGGATGCAAATACCAGAGACACCGGACGTCCGATAGAATTAAAGAATTTTTTTCAAGCTCGCTGCCTAATGTCGGACGCGAATTTCAAATGGACCGGACGTCCGATACTCTCAACGGCTAGTAGACTCTTCAACTACCTTCTATCCGTTGGAAACATTAATAGGATACTTTTTGATCTCATATATATAGTGCATAGTCAACTACTCTAAAATGACTTTTGCACATTGAGAATATGAAAGATCAAGAATAGTTTTAGTAAGAAAATACTCTTAAAAAAAGATTTGTATTCTTAATTGTGTAAATTTCGTATAAACTTTTCTTGTGTGAGAAAAATACTTCAATAGTGTAGTTTGTGAGGGTTATCCGAGTGATTGTAAAACTTCCTAATTTGACCAAGTGTAGCTTGGGGCAAGGAGGAAGTAATCCTTCCTTTGTACACAAAGATTGGTTGTATTTGATCAACTTGAAGAAACTTGTTCTACAAAGTGATACTCAAGCTCAAGAGGAGCTTGGAAGTAAATTGGTTTGCTATTTCTTCCTTATTACTTATTCTCTTGTGAACATTAATTGCTCATCTCTTCTACCCACATGCAATCTTGCTTTCTTATTAATTGTTCCATTGAGTGGTTATCTAGAAAAGAGGGTAAATTTTATATTGAGTCAAAAAATGTCTCATAATCCGATTAGTTTTCAAATTACCTAATTCACCCCTTCTTAGGTTGTCTTCGATCCTTACAGCTTCTTTGCTAAATTTTGACCGTCCTAACATTTTTGAAACAGAAAAATAATTGATGAAGACTAACATTATTTATTGTAGCATATATGGTTGACTTAAGGCTGCCTGGTGACACAATGGTCTGCAGCTGCTTGATCAACCATCAAGGGCAACGCAACCAAGTAATGACTCAATGACCCCTAACATTATGAAGTCCAGGCTGGCACTCCCTCCGCATCATATATTTGTTATCCAGGGGCTTCTTTGTTGAATTTTGATGGCCCTAAGATTTTTGAAACGAAAAAATAATTGATGATGACTAACATTATTTATTGTAGCATACTAGTTTTCGGGTGCCACGCAAAGGCGTGGCAATGCCCAGGTTTAAGTTTAGCATGTATAATTTAGGGTTCTATTTATAATGCAATGCATGTAATGGTTTCCAAATGGAAACTCATATGCATGTGGTGCGAATATTTGTCGATAATATGATATATCTGTCATTGAATCTGGAGTAAACATACTTACAGGAGAGATAATTAATTGTATTAGGTTTGTCATGCCAAAATGGATATTAATTAGTTTTTGTTTTTGTTTTTGCTGCTATAAAAGCGTAGGCTGTCTAGTTTGGAGAAGTTAGTTTTGGTTTTTTTCTTTTTTTTTTGCTTTGTGGTTTATTGTTATGGAATAGAATTTAGTATCTATCAATCAGTTGAATGACGGGTTTCGCAGTTGGGTAGAGACTATCTGTCCTGTAAATTGATTATTGTCAAAACGCAGATGTTGCAAATTTTGTAATTTGCCAAAATCTCTTGGAATGACCCCTGAAGGAGAGTTTTCTTCAAGGCCAAGGAGATATAGGTTGACAAAATTTCCAAACCCCTTTGGAATAGTTCCTGACAGTTGATATCCCCCCAGGAATAGTTTTTTGAGTTGATTTGAGAGATTGGCCATGACTCTAGGTATATCACCTCCAAAATTATTGTAACTCATGGAAAGAATTCTTAGATTACTGCAGTTGGTCATATTGGCCTAATCAGCAACATCCCTCAGATCCCGACTCGAAGGAACTAACCGCCCAGCCCGTGGCATCCAGGGGTGCAGCTCCTCATGCTGGCCGAGCATGATACGGTTCTTTGCGTTGCCATTGTGATTAAGGAAATAAAGTTGCGCCTTTGCTAATAGCTATAGCTTTTGATGTAATGGTAAGCGCTTGATCCTGACAAGCGGTATCAGAACGTGGTTGCGGGTTCGAGTCTCCCTGGCTGTTGCTGGGGGAGGGATTGTTGGCCTAATTAGCAACATCCCTCAGATCCCGGATCGAAGGGACTAACCGCCCAGCCCATGGCACCCAGGGGTGCAGCCCCTCATGCTAGCCGAGCGTGGTACGGTGATTTGCACTGCCATTGTGGTTAAGGAAATAAAGTTGCGCCTTTGCTAATAGCTGTAACTTTTGGTGTAATGGTAAGCGCTTGATCCTGACAGGTCAGTGATGCAATAAAGTCCAAGTCTCCGGTAGAATTATTGTCGAAGAGATTGTGATAAAGATTAACTCTTTTAAGTCGTGTCAGATCTCCTAAATTAGCTGGAGTTTGGCCTGCGAACTTATTATAGGAAAGATCAAGTATCTCAAGCCCAGAAGCATTAATGATTGAAGTTGGAACGTTTCCATACAAGTTGTTCCCCCCTAACATACAACATTTGCAGATTTGGTAGGGTGAGGCCTATATATTGGTTTGGAGACTGCCACGGAAGGAATTGCCACCTACTGAAATCACAACAACAACTGAACTATTAAAGATAGAGGCTGGGATTATACCGGATAGATTATTTTCTACAGCTCCTAATCCGGCAAACCATTTTAAGAGCCCCATCTCTATGGGCAGATTTCCCTCCAGATTGTTGAAGTCGAAAGTGAGTGTAGTCAGCGATGATAAAATCAATTTCACTAACAGGAATTAAAGAATAAAGTTAGAAAAATATTGATTAAGGAATGGAAGAGATGTCACCGCATTTGGAGATTGTTCACTGGATTCATCCACTTGAACAATTTGATATTGGGGTTCCTTTTCTTGTACTTCAATTCCCTTTTCAACTGCATCTTTAGATTGTTCTTCGTAAGACTCTTGCAGTTCCATGTCATTTGTCAAGATAATTATACCCTCATCTTTTTCATGATCGAAAATAGTCGTTGAGGGCAATTCTTCACTCATTCAAGAAGTCAATTGTGTTATCCTATATGTCAATTGATCCATTTGATCTACCAGGTTACGCATGCTCGCTTGTGTTTCCTGATGAAAATTTATTGTCACCTGTTGAAGTAGATGTGTCTCCTGTTGAAGTTGAGCGTGTGAGGATCCGAAAATTTTCTCATTTTTGTCAAATATTACTGGTTTATTTAAATAGTTATTCACACTTTTTCTCCGAATTATTTAATTCGACTACTTAAAATCCATTTATATGAAAAAACGCCTCTCTTATGTTTTTAAAGCGTTTTGTTAGAAAATTTACTTTTCGAAAACTCGTTTAGTTCGGAACAACGAGTGCACGTTTTTCGAGACTATATTTGAATCGAGAGTGTATTAATTTTGGAGAAGTAAGAATGATCAATAGTAGATTAAGAAAAATTAATTGGAGATTTGAGGAATTAAAACTCGACATATGTGAGGACTTGCAAAATTTCCTATTTTAAACCCTTATTACTAGCTTATTTCAATATTTAATTGCCCGTTTGCCTCGAATATTTTATTTCAACCTCTTTATACTCAATTACATGGTACTATAACTTAATTATATTTTTAAAGTGACTCGTTTCAAAATTTAATTTTTGGAAACTCATTAATTGAAAATAGTGAATACGCGATTTGGAGTAAATAATTGATTCAAGGATACAATATGTTTGAAAAATTGGAAACTTGTACATTAGTCTCAAAATAGGTATTTTTATGTTTAAGTGCTCAATTATTAGTTAGTAATAATATCATTATAAGGATTTCTTAGAAATTTCACTCTATCACGTATAAATCGGAAGTACGCGTTTTCGTGTGCGCATTTAATTAAGGGCCTTTAGACCATTATTTTGGGACTACTAAGTGTGAATAATGATGATATGATTGGAAGTGCATTAGAGGTTTAGTGCACTAGTGAAATAAACTTGAGAGGAATCGAGCACAAAACGCGCGCGTACGCGCAAGAGAGAGAGTTGACTTTTAGGACAAATCTTGGCCACAAATTCTCAAGCTTCCTTAAGAAGCTACAACACTCTCTACACTCTCATTTCCCTCTCTCATTCCAGCAGCCAAGGAGGAAGGAAGAATAACTCCAAGCTTCCAAATTTTTCCTCTTCATTTCTTGCACAAAAACATCACCAAATCACACAAAAATTGAACTACACATAGCTTAACCCTTGGAGTTTGTATCTAGCTAAGAAAGAGGGGCTGTTTTCACGAATTTCTTGGACCAAGAGGGGACTGAAAATTCTTTCCTTGTGCATCTAAGAAGGTGAGCCCGATCAACTCTCCAAATCTTGCTTCATGGAAGTAGTAATGCACGTTTAAGCCCTTGCATGTTTATGGGTAGTTTGTTTGTGATGAAAAATTGGTTGTGTGGGCTCTATGAACTCCCACCTTGGATATATGGACTGATTTGTGGTGTTTTGATGGTAATAATATTTATTTAGTACTTAAACTAGTGGATTAATGTTGAATTGTTGATAGAAACTTAAGTATGGTGCATTGACCAAAAGTGACCGTTTTGCCCCTGCTTTGTTCGAGCACTTTGGTGTGAAATTTTGAAAATCTAATGGCTTGTTTATATTG